ACAGGGTTCTGTCTATATCAGAAAAGAAACGTTTAATAGCTAGAGTTGAAAACAGTATTGTAGTTAGGGGTAGAATGGGCAAAAAGAGAGGACAGTTGGCTTGTTGCTGGAAATATGGCCTTTTTTTGGACTGTCTGCACCAACCTGGGGGGTGACTCCAGGTATGAGGACTAATCCTCAGCTTAGCATATTCAGAAACTCGTTCCTTCATTCTGTGGGTATGCTAATAATTCTGTGACTTGACCAGAACAAATGCAATTTGTGATCTTGTTAATGTTGGCTCTCCCACCACCGGTGTAGATTGCAATTCATCTTCATCTTCTCATCCTATGCGGATCTTGCTCATGTCCTCCTATGAATCATTCACAAAGGGGCTACCCAATGGTCTCCTACCATTTCATGGTTACTAACCTGGAACTTGGGTTATCCCTTTGTAATCTCTCATGCCCACTTCATTTTCTGGTCCTACATGTCCTTCATGATGTCTTGCATTCTGGGTGTGTGTGTGTGTGTGTGTGTGTGTGTGTGTGTGTGTGAACAAGTCACTCTCAATAATGCAAGACATCATGAGGGTTCATCAACTGGATCACCTGTAGCCCTTTGGAGATTTTGGGCATCCTGTGATTCATGGCTGCAAAGCACCACAGGGACAATATTACTCAGAGTGTTACAACATCCGTTAAAGGATGCTGCTTATATTGAATTTGAGCCTAATGTTTGAACCGTTGACATTCTCCTAGGTAAATAAGCATTTAGTCTTAATCTGGGGCAACTCAGCTTTGGAAAGTTTTTAAAGCTTCTGATGAGAACCATCCACTATCCTCTACTGAATGAGATCCTATGTATGATGTTAACCAGCGCCAAACTCTAAGAAATGTATTTTTAAGTGAAATCTGATGTCATAAGTAAATATTAAGTAAATATCACATGCATCTTTATTTGCAGATGTGATATAAAGTATAATTTTTAATAGAATCTAGAGGAACATAATGGTTTTCCCTCTCCATCCCACTCACATATAAATCTGAGTCTTAAATTGCACCTGATATGAAGGGCCTGTTATTAAAATTACTACTCCTAAATGCCATGTAGCTATTCCTATATATATATATGAATGGATATATGATATCAATATGTGTAGTACTATGTATCAATGTTGCTAAGTATCCAGGGCATCCAATCCAAAGAAATACTTGGAGCTAAGAATAAACTAATGAGGAATTATGTGGTGTCAGCAACATAGAATCCAACCTCAGTACTCTATTCTGTCTTTTCTGATCACTCTCAGATTTATGAAAGATCATTGGAATACTCTGATTGTAAATGTGTCAACTTTTTCCAAGAAGCCCTCAGGCATCAGAGCCCAGCCTGGCGTCATATCCAACTATTGTCTGCTTCAGTAGTCAGCCAAATTTTATATATATTCAAGCACCAGATTCTTGAATTTTCTAATTCTTGAATTTTCAGATTAAATCACAAAATGTGCCTTATAATTAATGAAGGGGGAAGGAGGAAAGAGCTATCCATGCTGGCATTGCAGATTGGAATCACTGAACACAGGCAACCTATGAGGCAGAGTTTACCAAAGGCACAGCATTTTTCCAGTGAATTTCCATCTGTCTGGATCATAGATTTAGTGCAGGAAGGGAACTCAGAAGTCCAACTCCATCTTACATATGAAGATATTGAAGCCTAAGTATGAAGTAACTTATATACCCAAAGTCATAATGCAGCAAAGTCAGGATTTGAAAGAAGGTCTTCTATCTTCAAATTCAGCATTCTTTCCACTGTGTTACTCTAGACATACATGTAAGTTTATGCTTGCATGATTTCTAAGTAGCCACACAGAATGGATCAAGAAACTGAGGGAAGCCAAGGGAAGAAGATTTGAGACTGGGAGTAATGAGAGCACATTTGGACTATCTCTCATGGACTTCAGTGTCTGCCATTTTCAAGCATCCATATTTTTAGCAATAACTTAATTAATTTAACTAATGCTTATGACATCAGAATATCAACTGAACTAAAGAAACACAGTTTTCCAGAATGCAAATCCTGATTTGCAGTTCCTCTGCTCCTTCAATCTTGTATTGCTTTTGAATGGTGCTTATAGTCAAATGAGGATATAATAAGCCATGTACACAAATAATCATAATACAATGTGATGTGACAATGGCAAAGGACAGATCCAGACAAAATGCTCCAGGAAACCTTGAGTGAAATAGTTATTTTGACCTAACAGAGAAGGGAAGATTAAAAGACAAAAAGGACAGGACAGGACTTGAAGGGGACACCTTCATTAGGAAACTAGAAAGAAGAAATTGAACCAGTGAAGACCAAGAAGCACGCAGTTGGTGTTTAATAAATGTTAGTAGAGTTAAACTGAGAAGCAGCAGCTATACAGGTAGGGAGAAAAGAAGGAAAGAGAAGCCAAGAAAGGAAACTATATCCAAAAAGTAGAGTAGCCAATGGGTCAAATATCACATGGGAAAAAAAATCAAGGTTGATGACTGAAGTCTTTGGCTTTAGAAATAAAGTCCATAGCTGACCTTGAAATAGGCAGATTCATAACCTTGGTGTATGCAGCCCTTTGACTGAATCCAAACTTCACAGAATAAATCCCCTTAATAAAAGGATTTGCTCTGTAAAACTTGGACTCAGTCAAAAGGCCACATCCAAGGACCTACAAGGCCACATATGGCCTCTAGGCTGCAGGTTCCCTACTCCTGGTCTAGAGGGTGAAACTAAGATCAGTGGATGGAAATTGCCTTCCTGTAGGGAGACAGATTTTGCTCACCAAAGGAAAGAACTTTCTATGAATTAGAGCTGCCTCTGACTGGAATGGACTACCTCCTTAAAGAATAAGTTCTCTATCACTGGACACATTTTAGGTAAAGCATGGAAGACTACTTGAGACTATTGTAAATGGGATTCCTGACTTACCTAATCAGCTATTGTTAAGCTACAGGGTCGGAATTCCACTTAATGACTCCTAAGGTGCCTTCCAACTCTTATTTTTAATATTTTGTAATTGGCTGAATAGATCTACTTTAGAATTGCTACCATTTTTATTCATCTTGCCTTCTGTATCACACATGCATAGGCATGAATACTCATCCCTCATTTATTCATGCATGTATTCATTCATTCTAAAATTCCTCACCTTGTACAGTAAGGTTGAGTCCCGGCTATTGCTCTGAGGTCTTATATCTAATGACAACAAATACACTTAATTCTGCAACCAAAATAGTGCTAACTCATCAAAGGATAATGTACATCTGCTCCTTATTTAGCCCTACTCCACCTCCCAACCTATCTCTATTCGTCATTTCTCAACTGTATTAGGTGAAATGAGAAAAGTTCAGGGCAGTAGGAAGTGCTAATTATCTCTGAAGTAGACATACACTGATCAGATATCAAAAGGGGGTGTTATATCTGTCATTACTCCTTCCCTCCCCAAATATTTTAGCACGAATTCTTCCAAGATAATGCTATATTCCTAGTCCTTATAGACAAATCCCGTCTAACTCACAGGCAGTCTATACAAATCATGTCACTATTAAGACATAAATTCAAATGAATATTTGAGAACTAATAACGTGCAAGGTACTGTGAAAGAGACACACACACACACACACACACACACACACACACACACAGCTATCCCTTCCACACTGCAACTTTCCCCATTGTGGTTTCAATATATGGTAGGTCAGCATAAGAAAAATAAATGGGAATTTGGGGGCAGTCTTGCAGAAGCCACAAACAACATGCAAAGGTCAGCAGATGACACAGAAAAGGTTTAGAAACCCAGAAATGCATAAAATATATGTATATTGTATAATACTTTGTATAACATCAACATATTTTATCTTTTAACACTATAATAATTAAGACTTCTTCTCTGGTATGAAAGGATGGCCAAAAAATTTTACATGGATTTTCCAGATAGTGCCATGCCCGTAACCCCCATGATATGGAAGTGATAGCTGTGCATATGCATATAAATATATAAATACAAATTATACATATGCATATACATATGTGTACATATATTAGTAAAATTGGATACATATATTTATATATTATAAATTACAAGTCTGTATTTGCATACACTCACATGCATGTCTGTGTGAACATACACATATGCCACATAATATATGATAATTGCTTTTAAGTACTTTCATTTATCACTTCTTAGTTTATATATTTAAATTGACTGCTTACAGTTGTCTAGGCAACCTCAATGCTGAGGTCATGTATAGTAGGTAATGGACTTTTCCAGAAACTTAATTTCTTGGCCTTCTCTTTCCTGAGGAGTCATCATAGTATAATGTAATGGTGTCAAATTCAAACAGAAAAGAGGGTCACGGAACCATATATAAGGATGCCTGCAGGATGCATATTGACTCAGATAACCACATATGTATATTATCTATGTTTTATTGTACTATTATTTTGTTAAATATTTTGCAATTACATTTTATTCCGGTTCTGGCACACTTAGGAATGTTGTGGGCTGCATGGATCCCTACTCTCAAGTTTATATTCTTCAGGGGAGGCATAACATAGCATATAAACAGCTAAGTGCAGGATATACGTGATAATTTGTGGAGAGAAGGGAGGGCACAGGAACAACTGAAAAGATCAGGAAAACAAACTATTATAATTTTCTATTAGTTCCAGAAATCTCTCTTCGAAGAAATTTGAAATTGATTGTGTAACATGGGAGATACAGACACAGAACTATCTAGCATAGCGTCCCTGTATCAAAGAAACCACTGTGCTCTATGAGTAAAGCAGAATTGCAGTAGCTCAAAAGAAATGTGAGATGTGCAAATGTAGAGTTACCTCCACTGCAAATGTTCACTCGGACTATTTGTGCCCGACCTGTAGTAGAGCCTTCTGAGTGCATCTTGGTCTGATCAGCTGACCCCAACATAGTGATATTATTTCTGTCCTCTTCTAGCACAAAGGACAACAACCAGTACCAGAAAACAAAGAGTTAAAAGGGTGGTTTGGGAATTTTTTTTCTTTTCTTTATGGCTAGATTATGCCACTGTGAGCAAAGTTTGAGCTATAGTTTTAAAATCTCTGGACTGGTAGCTAAGAGGTGACTTGTTAGGAATGAAAGAAAGCAGTGAGAAAAGGGGAGGGAACCAGGGAAATGGAATATATGGAGACTATCTGACTGAGCCTAAAATATGAACCTGAGGGGAGATGGAAAGCCACATGCCCATTAATGACATTTAAGTGTTTTCTCTCCCTGTATTAGCCTGGACATACTTACTGCTTCAGTCTTTTGACAGACCCTTCCATTTCCACTGTAGGTCCTTTTCCCTCCATTCCTTCAGCTCCTGAAGTGGACGGCAAAAACTCAAGGATGACCACACCAAGTCGCTGTGGGGTGGGGGAGGGTAGCTGGTTGCATGCAGCTTTGGCAATCAAATGATTCTCAGCTTTCCCATTGTTTAAAAAAAAAAGTATTCCATTTCAAATATTCTCATGTAAGACAAACAGACGAACTTGTACTTTCACACTTATCCAAAACATTTCAATAGATTTATTCCACTTGGCTAAGAAGACACCACTGCCCATACAACCATACAATTTTGCGTCCTTGTGGAGGTAGGAGCGAGGTAGTAAGTAAGTGAGTAGTAAGAAAGTGAGTAACAAGAAGGAGGGGGTAAGATTCTTGTGATTATTACATGCCTTTTTACTTCATGTAAAGGTCTGTGTAATAATAGCAAGGAAAAAAATTAAAAAATCGTATCAAGGAAAAAAAGTGATGAAAAAAATTGTGCTTGAATGGAAACAAGAAATCTTTAAATTAGCAATTGATATTTCACCAATAGAAATGTCCTTGTAATGCACAGTGAATGAGGTTTTAAAACTAAAGAGAAACATTCCTAGGAACAGTGCTGTCTTCAACTAAAGATCTATTATAGATTAAATATGTATTCATGTAGGTAGCCAGTGGTTTATAGGAAAATTTTTAAATATTTTTTAATAACTGCTAAATTATCAAATCCCTAAAGGTGAGTAGATTGAGTTTTCTTCTTCTTCTTTCTTCGCCCAGGAATCTGCTTGGATGCCAGGTTGCTGATGACTGCTAGGATATGGAATTTTGATATCCATTTGGTCCTGATTTACACCAGGATTTCTCAGGCTGCCAACAAGCAAGTCCAGAGCTTCAGGCAGCCAAAATTCCACCAGAGACAACTGTCTTTTATTTTATAGCTTATGAATTTGGGGCTTAATTGATTTTCCACTAACAAGTTCTGTACCCCCTCCAAAGTGCTAAAACCGGTGTGCAGATCGGCAAAGTAACCCAGAACAGATGAGGCAAGTTAATATTAAACTTGAAGGAAAACTGTACAAATTACATTGTTTACTTAGGAAAAGAAAAGGACCCCAGTTGAAAAGGCTGACACATGATTTATTGCAGACACTTAACTCATATATTCACATTTTTAATCTCAACCACACTTGCAGCAGCAGCATGTTGGCCAGTGTGGCTCTTGGTATTTGATAGGGCATTAGTAAAGCTATCAATTAAAAAAAAATCCCCACTGGAACTTGGTAACAAGTGACTCAAAACAATGAGCATCTTCAGCTCTTACAAAGTAACTAGAAAAAAAACCAAAATGCAGACTCATATCCAGCATGAGTAATAAATCACAAAAGAGCATGCTTAGGTGAGCAAGCATACAATTTGTGGAAGAGTTAGGGACAACAAACTGTGTACAGGCATGAGGAAAAGAAATGTTGACGCTATCAACATGACAAAGAGCAAATGAGGCCTTCCTTGTAGCTACAAGCAGAGTATGTCGCCAAAGGGAACTTCCATGATAATGAATTTAGACACAAACTTTCCCCCACTCTTTTGATACATTCCAGTAAAACTTTGAAAGGAATCAAGGAGAGATTAGATACTGTAAATTTGCCAGGGTGTGTGGTAGAATCTCCTTCCCTAGAGACTTTTAATACCTCCATATGTCAGGGATGTTTGAAATGCAGTCCTCCTTAGGCAGGCCCTGACTGCCCCTTGGATCAGAGTTAGGATTATCATACCTAGACTAGATCTAGTCCAGGGGTACTTATCCTCTTTTATGCCATGGACCCATTTGGCAGACTAGTAAAACCAAGGGACAAACTTTCTTGAGATTTTTTTTAAAATTCCTAATCAAGAGATGCTAAATTTCAGTTAGAGATCAGTGAAAACAAAGATGCAATTCTGCCCCAGCCAAGTTCATAGACCCTGTTAAACAATATCCATGGACCCCATGGTAAGAACTTCATTTTCTATGACCTACAGGTATTTATTTTGTGATTCCATCAAAGAGTACCTTCCATAGTGAAAACTCAAGGCACTAATCCATTCTTTAGATGAAGTATTAGGTCAATCATGATGGTCCACAGATCTTTTAATGATGACTCATTATGTAAACTGAATTTGCTAATACTGCATGGAATATTTATGGTGCTGCTAATGTATACAATTCACTATCTGTTCCATCTGCAAATCATCAGATAGTGCTTTCTAGTAAACAGAAGTAAGTAGCCCTTGGACAATCCTAATTATGGAGAGTCAGTGTGTTGTAGTGAGATGGGCATTATATCGTTACTAGGTGAGGCCTAGGTTCAAAGCCTGCCTCTGACCTTTACTAGCTGTGTGACTATGAACAGTACTTCACCTCTATGACTGAGTTTGTTTCCGCACTCGCAAAATGGAGACAAAAATATTTGTAGCACCTACCTCACAAGTTTGTTGTGAAGACGGTATTATACCATTTTGTACAGGAGGAAAATGGACACGGAATAGCTAGCTATTTTAGTGAGTTAGTGACACAAAGATTAGAACATTTGTTATATGTAGCCTTGCCTACTAAGTCATGCTCCCATGAATATCAGTGAAAGAATGAGACACAGCTGTTGAGTCGTGTCCAATCCCTTGTGACCCCGTGATAAGATACAGACAAATGACTGATTCCCTGGGTCAGCTTTGAAGGGAGTCACCTCATGTGTCCTGTAAATTTTATTTTATGATTCTGTGAACTACTGCCATGATGTCTGCAAGACTTATTCTCCTACCAATGGATCACCATCATCAAAAGAAGGATTCTTATGCCAAAGGCGACCACCCCAGAGAGTTAGTGAGCTAGAGAGGTGATATTTTTAGAAGAACGCTTATTTCTGGCAGTGAAGGGACTTAAGTACTCTAGGTGGCACAGGGGAAAGAGTATTGGACAAGGAACCAGGAATTGTGGGTTTTAGTGCTAGCTCTAGAATTAAATTTGGGTAGGTGATTTCCTTTTTTGTGGATGGAATTCTAGCTAAGTAGAGAGGACTGGAACTTTGTCCCAGGGCACCGGCAGTATTTGTATTCCTGTAGCAGGCAGAAAGGACTGTTCTTAGCATTTAGTTGTGAGGAATAATCCATTCAAATTGTAGGCTACAAAATAGCCTGTCTTCTCCCTCCTGCCAGTCATTTCCTAGACAAGTTACTCTCTGGTTCAATATGGCCTTGCATCTTCCTCCAATGGTGGCCTTCCCAGCACTGGTTTGGGGTATTTCAAGGTATTATGAGTTTTCCTGACAGGATGCTATCTTAGAATTTCTCCCACCGTAAAACTGGTACCCCAAGGTCTTAAGTCTCTCATCCTCAACTAAATTTGTTTCAGTGAGTGCATTTAAGGATAGCAGTTGTATTGTTGCCCTAGGAACCGGAACTGTAGCACAGAGTTCTCCTTGGATCTCCATTTTCCACATCTGTAAAATGAGGGCATTGAATCAAGTGATCTCAAAGACTTTCCCCTTCAACTCTAAGGAATTTTAAATTCTCTGCTTGATCCTGTGAAACAGTATTGAAAACAAGGAAACCAAAAAGCAGACTAGGCCAATAATTCATCATCATCCACCATGCCTGCAGTCCACCTGTACAAAGCCAAAGCACTGACTGCACATTGAATGCAACTTCAATTGCAAATGGTAATTAGATCACACCACAAGAAGAAAAAGTATGCTTTTGTAGCTCCTTTTAAACTTTTAGTAGAAAAAATTTATACAAAACTCTTAATTTTAAAAAATACCATTAAATCATTCTAACTAGGAAATCATATGAATAGCTAATTCTATCACTCTAGTTTTTTATCTACATAAATTTGCCACTGTTAACACAGTGCATAAATTATTTGTTCTGTTTACCACAAGTAACTGCAGTGTCTAGAAAAAAAATAAAATGAGTTTCCATAAATTAATCTCCAAAGTTTCACATCTATTCATGTGTCCTGTCATAAGAAGAAGCAAGAAAAGAAAAAAAAAAGAGAGAAAAGAAAATGTACTCGGATCTCTTTGGAAAGAAGTCCAAGAAAGTTTATCACGTAAGAGGTTTAACCCAGTGGTTTAGGCTAGCATCACCCTTGGACCCATACCAAGAACAGACATGCTTGGTTCATTTAATCAGACTAAAGCAACTGGGAAACACTCTTCTTCTTTTTTTTTTTTTTGGCATAGACTGATGGCTAATTCCATTCTTTTTTTCTCATTCATCTCCCTAGAGATGATGGTGCCTGTCACTTCTACAGTCATTTTTAGGCTCTACAAATGGAGTAGGTTGGCATGTAGGGGGGTAAGGGAAGGGAAATCCAGAAATGAGTCTTTAGGTAACAACTATCTTGATGTAAGGTGTAATGTCAGAGAGCCACAGATAGTCCATTTACCTAGGCTGATCGATCTCTGTGGTCACCCTGACCAAAGGCAACTCTGATATGCTCTTGCCTCATGTGTTTTGAAGAAGTTGGACCTCTTGCTAAGATCACAGAGCACTTTAAAGTTGTTTGCGGGTCACTCATGTCCATCAGGCCATTTCACCTTCTGAACTCATTCTAGACAAATTGCAAAGTACAACAGTATGAACTGTTTATTCTGAAGGTGTGAGTACTGGCAGGTGAAGACAAGAGTCATGCATCGGGCAGCTTCTCAATAAGTCTGGGAGAGAGTTTAGAGGATAAAATGAGGCGCTGTACAAACTCAGACTGAAATGGGTCATATTCTCTCAGCTTTGAAAAAAATCACCCTGAGGAGTTTGGTTGGAAATGTTGGGTTTTTTGTTTTTGTTTTAGTATACTCCTTCTTGATTAAAAGTATCCTGGGGCTCAATGCCAAGGTTTCACAGCCGGACTTCTTCTTCTGCCTTGGGGCCATGGGCTGTCCTGACTAAGCATGTTCCTAACAACCCAGCATCTGGCAACAGGGGAGACACAGAAGGAGACTGCATGGTCAGCAAGGAGAGGGAAGGAGAAAAACTGGGGGTCATGGCTGCCGGTGGGTAGTGAAGGTGCTGGTGAAGGGGAGAACGTGGGTATTTCTTGAATGCTTTCCCTGGTGAAAGGCTTGGCATTCGTGGTGGCACTGCCTTTATGCCAGGCTGTGCTACTGATGTGATCAAAGGAGGTGGGAAAACAAAAGATTTCTTCCCCTGTGATAATCCAGGCACCTGCAAATGTTCATCTTTCAGCTTTGCAATATCATTGAAGACAGAAGAAAGAGGCTGAAACTGGGGTTCCCAGTTGAGGAGGTAATCCCAGTCATAGCTACTTCTTGGATCCTTACTGGGAGCTTCTAAAGTTGCAAGAGATCCGTACCTTGAGTCCTGATCATTTGAAATAAAGATATAATCTCTCCTACCATCTTCCATGAGGGTTTTCTCTTTCATTCCAATTTTGTGGAGTGTCTGGGACAGCATTTTATTTTGAGCATAAATGGCATCACACCTTTGTCCTACACCCTCAAAGGTGAAACTGTTCTCTAAGGTTTCAGTGGTGATCACCACATCTGTTTCCCCAGACAGGCAAGAGAGCTGGTCAGAGTCTCTGGGTATTCCAGAATCTGGCACCCGAGAGCCTCGGTCACTCAGAACTGAGCCAGAGCCCTTTCGGCAGGGGTGTTCATTTATCCTCTTGATCTCCTCATCCTCGGCAGTATCTCCTTCCACTGAGCAGTGGCCACTTGAGTCTGAATGCCTGCATGGATTCACCATATCCTTTTTCTCTCTCATATCTACTAAATTCAACCATTCAGACATGGAGCCCATGGGAAGAATGCCATTGCCCACATCTGGAGCTTTCTGGGAGTCCTTGAGGATGCTGGGATCACTAGTAAGGCTCAGATGACTAGGTGAGGGTGAGGGGACCTTTTTTTCCCCACAGGAGTTTGCTGTGTCTTTTCGTTTATATCTTAAAATCAGGGCAACAAGGCTGATGACCAAGAGCAGAAATATGATGATGGAGGCTGTGAGGCTGATTGAAAGGCTGTCAGCAGGCAGTGCATAGTATCCTCCTTGAGCAAAAGAGGATGTATTTACAAAGATGGTGCAAGAGGAGGACTTAGAGTCCACTTTGGGACTGTGTGCTATTACTTTCATTTCAATGATATCATCTTTCCCGATGCTACTTCCCATAAAGGGAAGATCTCCAACCCAATAGACATTTCCACTGGTTTTATTAATAGATAAGAATGTTGATGAAGTTGCAAGGGTATAAAGCACAAGTCCATCAATTCCAGCATCAGCATCAGATGCTTCTACTTTGCCAATAACCTGTCTTATGTGATGAATCTCTGGAAGACTAAAGAAATACTGGTCTTGTGTGAAAATAGGTTCATATTCATCAATTCCTTCAACATCCACTTGGACCATCAAAGTAGCTTTGGCCTCACCTTTGTCTTCTGCCTGAACAATGAAGCAGTGTTTATTTTCACTTTCATAGTCTAGGATTTCCTTGGCATAGATATCCCCTGTTAATGGGCTAATAAAAAACAGTTCATGATCATGAGGGATTCCATGATTCATCAAACAGGATGACTGAATAGAGTATGTTAGGTGTCCATAAGGACCAGCATCAAAATCCAAGGCATGCGCTGTACACATGACAGAGAAATTAGGCAGATTCTCAGGGACAACACAGTTCAAACTTGAGAACATGAACTGGGGGGCATGGTCATTGTCATCTAGGACACTGATAGATACCACTGAGAAAGCAAAATTATTTGTCCCTCTATTTGAGGCTTGGACAGTTAAAGTGAACATCAATGTGTCCTCATAATCCAAGGGTTTAATCAAATCTATTGCTCCAGTTTCCCCATCTACTTGGAAATGTCCTTGTTCGTTTCCTGAGATGATGGTGTAGGTGACTTTGGAATTAGCTCCAGTGTCATGGTCTTTTGCTGAGACCACAACAATCTGACTGCCAACAGGCAGGCTTTCCTTAACATGGGCATGGTATTCTGGAGAGCTGAATATTGGAGGATTATCATTGACATCAAGCACATCTATTAATATGGTGGCTGTAGAATTCAATGGGGGATGACCATGATCAGAAGCTAGAATGATGAGTTTATGACAGGCCACGGTTTCTCTGTCTAAAGGGTGGCTCAGCACAAGATGACCAACACGCTTGTAAGGGGATCCTGAGGGAACTACATGAGTTTCTACATGGAAAGTGTTCTGTAAATTACCGCTGATGACAGAATACTCAACATGTGTGTTTTCATGGGTCCAGTCATGGTCAACAGCTGAAAATGTGAGCAGCGTGGTCCCAATGACCGCATCTTCACTTGCAGTGATGTTATAGTACTCCATGGTGAACTGAGGGGCATGGTTGTTCACATCTTGAATTTCTATTTCCACCAAAGTAAGGGCTGTCAAACCAGGGATTCCACCATCTTTGGCTTCCACAAGAAGTTGAATTGTTGATGTTTTGTCCAAAAGCATCATAGGCTTGACAGTAAATATGGAGCCTGAAAAATAAGAACCATAACCACGTTTTCTGTGAGTTTAGATTTGAGGTATCTCAACAAAATCATTCATTCAATACAACTATTTACTGAGAAAGAATTGTATGTATAGCACCATGTTAGATGCTATCATGTTTACCATTAACCACTCATAAAAGCATAGGATAAATTGTGGCTCAATTGTTATTTTTTTTAAAGCACATAAGTTAGATTCATTATACGTGCATATGTTTGCATGTAAAAGTCTGACTACGCATGTGCAAGTGTGTGTGTATGTATGTATGTATGTATGTATGTATGTATGTATGTATGTATATTGGCAGCTAAGTGGCACAGTGGATAGAGCACCAGGCATGCAGTCTAGAAGACTCATTTTCCTGAGCTCAAATCTGGCCTCAGACACTTACTAGCTATGTGACCCTCAGCAAGTCACTTAACCCTATTTGCCTCAGTTTCTTCAACTGTAAAATGAACTGGCAAACTATTCCAGTATCTTTGCCGAAAAACCCCCAAATGGGGTCACAAAGAGTCAGACATGACTGAAATGATCAACATGTAAGTATGTATATGTGTATATATTTGTGTACATGTGTATGCGTGTATCTTTTTTTCTCCAGCATAAAAGGAGTTTGCACAGAAATGCTACCTGCATGATGGGCAGTATAGCATAGTAAATGGAATGCCAAACTAGTAGTTAGGAGACCTGGGTTTGAATTCTGTCTCAGGCACCAAATGGGCCATTATGGACAAGTTATTTAACTTCCCAGTGCCTCAAAGCTCTCTTATCTAAAAAGCAAACAACAATATTCATAAGTCTGCAATAAGGAAAAAGCTTTGTTAGCCTTCAAGTGCCACATACATGTGTGCTTCTGTGGCTGCTGTTATTCTGCTTTGGTTAGTTAATTTCTTTCACCCCGGTGGCCAGAGCTCATTGGAACACTACATGAGGCATCTGGGACATGGGAGTGGGGTGCAGGTGGGCAGTGACATGGAGACCAAAGAGCTATCTGTCTAGCTGTGTGATTGACCTTGAGTAAGTCATTTATGTCTTTGGGCCTCAGGTCCCTTATTCTATTAAAAGGGTTGGAACTGATGGAGTCTAAAGTCTTTCTGGCTGTGAAGTAATTTGTTCTATGATCTGCTTCAGGATCCCCTGGCATATTATACAAGGTAGTGGATAGAAGGAAATTCTATGGATAATTTCTCATGTGCAGTTAGAATCATCTAGTCATTGATATGGAAATAGAAGGGACCTCAGAGGTCACCTAGTCTAACTCTGGGGGTGGGGGGAACTGAGGCCTGGGGCAGAAAAAGTGACTTGTCCAAGGTTACCCAGGCATTAAGCATCAGAAGCCAAGTTTGAACCCAGGCCTTCTGACCCCAGAATCAGTGAATTTTCCCACCACTATACCGCCATTGGTAGAAACTCTATGTGAAATTTTGTATAGTTAGTCTAAAGCCAAAATTATGGGACAGGCTAGTTTAGGGACAGCTAAAAGTCACCTCATATAGCTTGATAAAAGGTCTCAGTCATGCTTATATATAAAACATGCCAACATGGAAATACTTTGTAAAGACTACAGGAACAGGTACTGTAATGTATGAAAATGATGTTGAAAAGAATTCTGTAAAGGATGCTATTGTCCCTTTCTCAAAACCATTCCTTTCAGGTCAATATGAAATTTCATTTATATGATTATTTTTAGATCAGTAAAATATGTTTTCTGTATCTCATTGTAGCTAGGAATAGGTAACAAATGAGTCATTTGATGTCACATATATGAATGGTACAGAAACATGGAAAAATGTATTTAGGTTAAAAAATGAAATGTTCATTTCCATTAGAGTTTCATTAATAATGAAATCAAAATAATTTTAAAGTATTTGGTTTTTGACAAACAGGGTCCATTCAATTGTATATGTGTGTAAATTTGAATAGTAAACTGGTCCTGGGTACAGAAAATTGGCAAGTTCAGTGTGGATCCTAAGCTTTGATATAAGGACCAAGAAAATGGAGTATAATGTTGTCCAACAAGCAGAGGGGAAAGATTCAGCGGTTGTTAAAAAAAAAAAAAGGAAAGGAAAGAAAAGATCTGACATGTCCCAAACCCTAAAATTGGCTTTCTCTTCTTTCTTCCCCTCCCCCACAAGATAGGGTATGGCTGTCTGGCCATGACATCTGCCAAGCACACCAATGCTCAGGGTGCATGCTGGCTTTTGCGATTTTCTTTTCCCTTCAAATTATCATGTATTTTTATTTTAACAATATTTCCTTTACAGAAAGGTTTTGGGGCAGGCCATATAGCATGATTTTACCCAGGCCCTTCATTCTCCTCAAGTGATGATCTTGTTGGAGAAAATCATATCTTATAAAACTGAGTTTCAAGTATTCATCTACAATTTTCACTGTTTAATAACCATCTAGATAAAGTTTTAACTACACCAGTTATCAGTCAATAATTGCAAAGCTTCCCACAATCACTAAGGTATGTGTAATATAGCAATAATGTGCAAGAACCTTGCAGGAAGCATAGCAGCCAGAGTACCAAATGTTACAAAAGATTTCTGCTTTTTTCCTTCTTTTGTTTTTTAGTGGTACGAAAGGAGAAAGATGGCTCAACTTTGGAAGGGCCATCTAAGGTTTTATAATTTACCCTCTTCCTTTTATGGATGAGAAAACTGAGGGCCAGAAAGGGCAGGTGACTTACCTGAAGTCACATAAGTAATAAAAGTCAGAGGCAGAATTTGAACCCAACTCCTCAGACTCTTGAACCAGTACTCTTTCAGTTGTATCACACTGAGGATGCTACAACTGACTACTTTGTATCTGGTTTGAAGGTAAACAAAGTCTGTAGGAACGTTAGTGCTTCACCTCTAAACTAATCCCCTTGACTGCAGAGTTCAACTCAGGCAGAGTTTTGCAGCAACAGTCCTGGGATGTTTGCTGGAATTGTGCTTGGTTTTATGAGTACCATGAGCCTTTGTGTACTTAGAATATAGTCATCGATTCTCTATTTCTTTCCAGGTATGGCTAAGGTGTAACAGAGGAAAAACAGCACTAGATCTGGAGCCCGGGACTTGCAGATTAACAGGAATTTTGTGGCTTTACTTCAGTGAATGCAAGCCAAGCTGCATTTGGAAGAGAGGTTTTCCATTTCCCACTCTGTGATTGAAAGTGATGAATTTTGCAGGCCCTGAAAATAACTCACCATTCTGAGGATCAATTGAAAATCCATCAGCAGAAGACAGGATTTTGTAGGAAATCCTCCCATCAGTTCCTGTGTCCTGATCTGTGGCTGATACGGTCAAGATGGAGGATCCTACAGGCATTATTTCAGGCAATGTGACCTGTATCCAAAAGAGAAACTGGAGATTAAGAGGACGTAATTTGCTTATGGGCTAAAATATTTTCCTGGACAAATGATAACTGGGGTGTTTTTGTTGAGGAAATATTATCCTGTGCCTTTCTTTGGGCATGCTGCTTCTCCTGATTTCCTTAAGCTGAAATAACTTTGCTGAGTTGAGATATGAAAAGATAAAGGCAGAAAAGTTCCAGGATTCAGGGTGAACTTTGCCTTATTAACTCCATCTTTTTGAGATTTCATTTTGACCCATTTTCTTTCCAAAATAGCTCCATAGGTTAGAGGAGATTCAATTGTGTGCTCTGTGTGTGTGTGTGTGTGTGTGTGTGTGTGTGTGTCTTCCCCACAAAACAATAAAGGTCCCCAGAGTATTCCAATTTCTTCCCATGCTGTCTTTATATTTGCACTGTGCATTTATGACATGGAAGAATCCTGAAAGGGGGCAGCTAGGTGGCGCAGTGAATAGAGCACTGGCCCTGAAGTCAGGAGGACCTGAGTTCAAATTTGGCCTCAGACCAAACACTTGACACTTACTAGCTGTGTGACCTTGGGCAAGTCAATTAACCCCTATTGCCTGAAAAAAAAAAAAGAATCCTGAAGGCCATTCTGAAGTGGTAAATTGTTGTCTGTCATTGACCCTAGTCCTGAAAATGTTTGAAAAATCAAACATCACTGTGTGGTTCATCCAGTAGATTATGCTCACAATTAGTTGCTTCTGCAATAAACCATTTAAAACATTCACCAAATCTGCTGAGAAAAGACAAGGTCCTCTTCACTGCAACTTTTTAAGAATGCAAAGCCTGAATGAATAGCAGATGACACAACTGTCCTCAATTTACAAAAACTAAAGTCTTAATGTCGGAGTGCAGAAAAAAACCTGTTAATATCATGGGAAGTGTTAGGCATTTTACAAAAAAAAATGTAGTATCAAAAATAATCTTTAACAGCACTGGGAGGGCCCTGGACATGTGCAATGAGGTTGGTGTAGGCATTGTACAAGAAGGAAATGAATGAAATATTCAACTCCAGCTGTAGTCACATTAAGCACATCTCCTGTCTTATACAATATTAAATTTTCAGAAGACTGTGTTACTGAATGGTGCCTGCTTAAGCCATCCCTCAGCAACAGAGGCCTTGGACCATTCCCTATACTCCTGAGCTTGGGCCATGGTATCTATAGAATTGTAACCTCATTACCTGATAGAAATCTTGGGAAAAGAGTGGGGGGTTGTCGTTGACATCCATAACATAGACCATGAGCACTGCTTCCGTGTGGTGCACAGAGTCCGAAACCTCAACCCGTAGCTTGTATTCATTTCCTCCTTCAAAATCCAGTGGCTTTGCTAGTATCACCACTCCGGTGTTGTGGTCAATTGCAAATCTACTGCCAGGGTTACCCCCCTTAGTTAAATTGAAGACAAGAGCAGGGCCTGAATCTCTGTCATGAGCATACACTGAGTCACGACAGAACCAAGTGGAATACCTGTAAAAGTAACAACTGTGGTCAGCCATCATTAAGACCCATTTACTCATGTGATCATAAATGCACCTTTATCTTGACCCTTTCCTGGAATGCTTTCTGGTGCTCAGTTTCACACAAACAGAAGAAAGATTCTAAAGTGATCTAAAAGATAACCTTGTCCCTCTGAAGGTAGATTGGAAGTGAAGGTATTAACTAGTATTAATCTACATTTTGAAATACTCAAGGGATACTTAACCCCAAGACTCATGAGCCTGTCCAGCTCAAGAGAGGCCAGAATACTTATGGTGTGTCAGTTAACACACATAGTTCTTGGGGCAACTAGGTTGCATGGTGGATAGAGCACCAGCCCTGGATTCAGGAGGACCTGAGTTCAAATCCAGCCTCAGACACATAACACTTACTAGCTGTGTGACCTTGGGCAAGTCACTTAACCCCATTGCCTAGCCAAAGGCAAAAAAAAAAATAGAAGACACGTAGTTCTTGTAACAAAGTTCTGAGTTCCTTTGATGAGATTTTTTTGTTCTCTAAAGTAGTCCTACACACTTTAGTGCTATAATTACATCAGTGGAAGTCATTACACTGATACCAGTGGCAAGCTGCCCTCTCCTTTCTTCAAGATCTCTCTAACATATCACTTTGTGGCTAAGGAAGGGTCTTCTTTATGTTAATTGTTTACAAACTACACAGCAGCAGGTTCCCTCTTTCCCTTTTCTTAGGAATGTTCTAGGAAAGAACTGAGGAGGGGGCAGAACGTCAATCTGGTTTGCACTTCTGTTGCAGGCTGATAGATTTTTGCCTTGGGAAGAGGTGAATGCATTGAAATGATGGGCACAGGCAGCAGATTTAAGACCCATATCACCTACAAGAAGAACTAGTACATATTACATCTATTATATATAATGCACATATCATATACTTTATATAATGCATATATAATGATGTATATATACATGCTTATATGTATATATGCCTATAAACATATATGCATATTTATTTCATATATATTTATGAAAAATTCTTAGTACCATCAAAATGACATTAATATCAAGCAACTGCTTTCTTGGGCTATCTTGGGAGAAAGTAGTTGGCAAAATGGCCCTGGAAACTATTCCCCCACCCACTTCCTTAGCCTTTGTGTTACTGACCTATTACTAACACAAGTTTCCAAAAGACCTAATTCAGACAGAAAGTTAAAACCCATTAGAGCAGGAATTTTTAATCTGGGATTTGTGAACTTTTTTTAAAAAAATGATAATTGCATTTCAATATAATTGGCTTCTTTTTAAGTCTCATATTTTATTTTAGGCATTGAAAAATATTATATTCAAAAACATTTTTCTGATAAAAGGTCTACAGGATTCACTAGATTGACAAAGTGCTCTATGACATAATTAGGCCTTTAGATACATGATCAACCAAATATGGCTCTCTGTAAGTAACTGAACTTTAACTGCTCTTCATGGGGATTGCCCAATAAAAACAAGGGCCTTTACTTTAGCCTCTTCAATTAACAAGAATCAAAACCACAATCTTAAGATTTCCACACTTACTTTCTGGAACTTCTACTCGTTCAGAAGAGAGGAAGGCTGGGATATTATCATTGAGGTCTACCACTTGGATTTTGACCACAGCTGTAGCAGAAAGCCTGGGCATCCCTTTATCGGCAGCTTGTACAATCAACCTAGTTAGAGGAAGAAATTGGGATGAAGAAAAACAATGTTAATATTAAACATGCAGGAGAAGATGAAAAATGAGCTGAGTAGCTACTTAATTTTTCCCCCGGCACTGCTTTTTTCCAAATCACATTTTTGAAAAAAGAAGTATATATTTTGATACAAGAATGAGAGACCGGAATTTTTTTTGACAGTTTTGGATAATCCAACAAGCCCCAAAAGATTAAAAAGTGGTATGTCAAAACAAATGAATAACTTCTGGGAAACAGTCTGTAGAATTTATTCCTCTCTCAAAGAGTGCTCAGTGCAGTGGATAAAGAGATACTTCAAGGAACACTCTTCATACCTTCCTTCTCCAAACCATCAGGTTAAAAACATGACCAGGAAACTGCTGATATATTCATCTCATTGTCAAAAAATATAATTCCTTGAGTAGATCCAGAACAGTGTACATAGTAATGGCAATAATGCATTATGGTCAACTGTGAATGGCTTAGGCATTCTCAGCCATACAATGATGCAAGACAATTCCAAAAGACTCATGATGAAAAATGTTATCCACCTCCAGAAAAAGAACTGATGGAGTCTGAATGAAGATCGAAGCATACCATTTTTCACTTTATTTTCTTCCACATTTCTTTTTTGATCTGTATTTTCTTTCACAGTATGACCAATAAGAAAATATGTGTTGCATGATTGCACATGTATAACCTATATCCAATTGCTTGCTGTCTCAGGGAGGAGGTAAGAGAGAGAGGGAGAAAGACAATTTGGAACTCAGATTTTTTAAATGAATGTTAAAAATTGTTTTCACATGTAATTGGGGGGAAAATAAAACATTATTCACAAAAAAGAAAAAACATAACTTCAAAAGAGTTGTTTTGCACTGAGATATTTCAGATCCACATTCAAAACATTTTAAAAAGTGAGATTCAAAATACAACACCATCATTATGTCATCTAATATTTCAATAGCATTTACGAGTTTTCAAAGCACTTCCACATCTTACATCAATGAATCCTCAGAGCAACCCCAGAAGGTGGGAAATGTTGGAAGAATTATTATTCTCATTTTACAAGTGAGGAAACTGAGGCTTAGAGAGGTATCTAAGATCCAAGATTCAGCAAATGTTAAGTGGCAGAGTTAGAATGAGAATTAATGTCTTCTCACATTTTGTCTTGTGCTCCTTTTCATGACATCATGCTGTTATAATTAGCAGCAATTAAATATATACTATACTATTAACAAGTATCAGAGTCCCTGGTCTTAAAGAGTTACAATTTAACAAGGAGATGGGAGGCATCATGATGAACTTGTAAATCTAAATCTCAGGACCCAAAGTCAAAGCCTGACTCTGCTATTTACTGTGTGCATGACTTTGGGGGAAATTGCTTAACCTCTCTGGGCCTCAATTTCCTTATCTATAAAATGAGGAGGTTGGCTCAGATGATCTCTAAAGCTCCTTCTAATTGTAGATCTTGGGCCCATGAAGATAAGTTCACAACACAGATTTACACGGACATGCCTGGTAGGGAGAAAAGCTTGGGTCGCTATCAAGCTTGCTTGTATTCACTAGGGAAAGGCTTCACTCCCAATGAATAACTTCACAGACAATGAAAACAACACTGGCAAGTGGCATAGGTCTAGAAGTGAAGGCCAGACATTTTGAGGGGACATCATTCAATAGCTGAGGTCATTAGAGTTGCTAAGTCAACTTGGAGATTAACCCAAGAAGCCTCATTCCAGAAATGGGCATCAGATTCTTTTAGCTGCCAAAACTGCTTTTAGCAAAGCAGATCCTGTCCAGTTGTCACACTTACTTCTCCTGATCCCTTTCCATCATTAGAACATATGAGGGGTTTTTTTTCTTCCATGTCATATGAAACTACAAATAGATATTTGTAATTTGCTCCATGTTGTAATGCTCTGCCTGGGTATCAAGGGTGTTAGTGATCTAATCCCTGGGTACTCCTGCCATTCACAAACAACCCAGGATGCCTGCTGGATGCTCACAGTTTAGGGTCATTCAAGAGAACACAGAACTTGAATCACAAAATTCTGCTCATTTGGAGCATAGGAATAATTCCACGTAGAAGGGTTTGTTTTGTCTACAATGAACATCAGTAAGGTACATATGGAAATATTTTACTAAAAATAATCACCTTCTAATGTTTCTCTGAAGAAAAGGAATCTTATGCTGGTATCTTAGCCAAGACATCAAAGTGGATATTCTGTCAGCCCTTCCCCTATAACCAGCCCTATTTTCAGGCCCTTACAATGTTTTGGGGGAGTTGAGGGTGGAAGATTACATACAATGTCTATGTCAGGTGAAAAAAAAAGTAGAAATCTTTGATATAGAGAAATATATATCATTTAGTTCTGAAGTAAGAGGACAAGTGAAGGGTGACTCAGAGGCTCAGGGGACAAGTGAAAATTATGGCTGCAGCTCTGCCGACTTCTGAGAGGCATCAAGTCGTTTATGAGAGTTTCTTGGCAGCCTTTGGGAAATTAGTTGGTTGTCTTCCATCCAATTGGCTATATGCACAAGGAGAACCACTGACTTGATTGTGGCTTCAGCAGAGACTACAAACGAACCCGCCTGACTTTAAAGGGGCCCCTTCCCACTCAGGTTCAGTCTTATTGTTTGACCAATGATGGTCAAACAATCTTCTCTCCATGCCAACATCCAAAATTAGAACTTAAATTGCACAAATTCAATTATCATTGCTATGATTCAGCCCCACCCCTCCAAATCTTCCTTTAGGTTGCAATAGGGATTTGTCAAAATCCTCTCCTTACCAGATAAAATAATCCAGGTCTATTTTTACTTTAATACCAACCAAAACCAAAAATGATTGATAAAAGAGGGCTATTTTGACTGAGAAATGCAGCAAATTGCTGGCTGACTCAGAAAATACTCCTAAGAGCCATAATAGTAGAAACATGCGTCACCGACTAACCTACAGCTAATGTTGTATCTAGACACAGATACTCAAAACAGGCTGTGAGCTCAGTGATGTGGATATTTCCACTAATGATACTGATCCCAATCCCTGCCCACTTGCCCATTCTGGGTAGTTCTTGTCTATGTCCTCCTATAAAACTTACGAGGTCAGCCCAACATCAGTCATCCCTCAATCTCATCATGTGACCAGCTCATCTTCTTTTTAGTGATGACTTTCCTCTGAAGACATTTTTTCATTTGGTTTCTTCCTTGTAGGTACTTACTGGTTCCATGTTGAAGACTGTTCCCCCTCCCTCACCCCGTACCAATTCTTTGTCTTCTTCATGACGCTAGTTTTCAATTCTTCAGAAATACTTATGTTCCATGATTTGTAGCCATAATGCACATTAATTAAATATACAATTAACATGGTTTGTGCCTTCTAATACTTAGGAGGGCTTTTGGGGAATGCTTTTAGTGGGTTAACTCTCTTTTTTATAAAATGTGTATGAGAAAATTTGGATTGATGTGTTCTTTTACCCTGAATAAATTTTTCTATAATTTCCTATAATTATTTATATATTATTCTATATATATTCCTATATAATATGTATTATTCTATATATATTCCTATATATTATTACATTTCTATATAATTCCTATAATTTCCCTACAATAGGGACATCAAAAAGTCCTCCCTTGATCATTCTTTTTATGTCACCTATTATTTAGAAGCCTGAAACGAGGAGTTGAGTTACAAAGGTTTAGCTTTCTTATTTATCTTCTTTTCTTTGCTCCTCTAAATGGAGGAGGTCTCTACCAATGGTCACGTTATACTAATACCTTATTAATATCTTGAAGCACTTGTTATTTCAAAATCCAGTAGTTTACTCACATCAACTCTTGGTGCAGCATCCTTGCAGGTAGAATCTTTGATGCCTCAAAGTTCTGTTATAAAATGATGGCACCATTTCCTCTGACCTCCATTAACTTGGGATTCATTGATCCCATCTCAGGATTTGCTAAAATTCTTGACTTCATCCAAAATTATAAAGTCCTTCCTCAATTCCTTTAGGAGAAGTCCTCCTTCCTGTCTGGTTATTTCGCTGGCTTAAGCAAAGATTTCCCTTACATAATAGGCCTCAAATGACCCTCTGATCTCAGGGATGGATCAATGATGTTTCACTAGAAGCAAGAAGATGACCTAAATCTTAGGACAGGAGTCACCAAGGGAATTCAGATGGCCTGCGGCATTGCCCAAAATCAACTGTTCCTTGAGTTTAAAATTCTTATTTCTACACTTCTCTACAGATGGGAAAATATAGTTTGAAAAAATCAGTCCTTAAAAATGATGCAGTAACCCAAGCTTGGGGATTGTGTTTCTAAATCACTGGAAGTCTGCCCTTCACACAGCCCTCATGTGCCCTAATGTTTTACAAATGAGACCCCAGCATAGGTTTTAATTAGAAAACATTGGCAACATTGGATATTGGCAATGGAGTTCATCCATCCTTCCCCAGTTGAAATTCAGGAACTGATTTCTCCTTCCTGGCAATGTAAATCTTAGCAAACATTTTTTCTTGTTCTTGTTTCCAAAAGAGTCCTCTGTTGTCAACATTAAAAATGTGCCTGGAATATCTCCTCAACCCCCACCTCTACCCTTAATGATCTCAGTTAATTTATTAGAAAAACCACTAATTGCTTCCACGTCACTTACTTCTTCAGTCTGCACACTCCAGCCTGCTTTCTAGATTTATTACACATTTTCCTTTTGGTGAACTCTATCATCTTACCCAAATGGCTTACAACATTCCAGCTCCTAACTCTGCCCTTGAACAAGCTATTCTCCATGCATAGAATGTACTCCCTTATCACTTCAGCTTAGAAGGATCCCCACTTCCTTTCAATGACCGATTTAAGTGCTGTCTCCTCTAGCATGTCTTTCCTGATCTCCGAGCTGTCCATCCCCAACCCCGCCATTTTGGATATAGTTTGTATTCACTTAAAGGTTATTCTTCCCAAATGCTTCTGGAGTGAAGAAACCATTTCATTTTGTTGGCATTTCCCCAGTGCCTATCAAGAAGCTAGACACAAGTGTTGGAAAATGTTTGTCTGTCAATTATTTGATTAGTATATACAAAGCAAGTTTTTTTCTAACTGGGAAAGTTCTTTCAGAGAACAAATTCCCCACTCTCAAGGCTCTATATCATGAAACATCTAAAAGGGATGAGGAAAAAACAAACAAAAAAACAATGGTCCAGAAGCAAATGGTAAATGTTTCTTGAAGAATTAATTCATCAATATAGGCAGACAAAGAAGGCAAAAAAAAATGCCTTTCAACCATTAAATGAATACAATAAAAGTCAATCTACAATCCTAAACAATAGGAAGTTCAGAAACAAGGGCAAAAGTCACACCAAAGGATTCCAAATACTTGACAAACCTGTAGGAATTGGTGAGTTCATAGTCCAGAATTGTATTAGTTGTTATTACACCACTCGCTGAATCAATCTGAAATGCTTCATCCTGGTTGCCTAAGAGTATTGAATACTCAATTTGTCCATTCAACCCACTGTCAAGGTCAGCAGCAAAAAGCTATGGGAATGCAAATCTTTGGTTAGTCCACATGTGTTTCAATGTGTCAAATCCGTGAGTTCATTGATGTGGGTATGCCCAGCACCTCACCTGGATGACTTTCTCTAGGTATGTCACAACAATTACAACCAAGTTGCTTAGCACTGAGATTTTATCTCATGCAAATTTAAGTGACAGTCAAAGACCCCAGCAGGGCATGAAGCCCCCTCAGACAGTGGCACATAGGCAACTCACTCAGAATTTTGGGCAATGGGGAAACATAAATGTTAATTTTTTAAAAAATTAAAGTCTAACTTCCTTGAACATTCTGTTCCTGAACTGAAGATTCAAATGGAATAGTGCTCAAACTAGTAGGTAGCACCAGAAAAGGAAGCCAACCAGAAATGAGGTGGAATATAGAAGGTTAGAGCTAGAAGGGACTTCAAAGGTTTCCTAATTTAACTTCCTCCTTTTTTAGGTGAGGAAACTCAGAGGCCAGTAAGGTTGACTTGAAGCTAGAAGACCCTGAATTGAGCAACAGGTTAGCTGCTTACTGGTGATGTGAATCTTGACAGATCCTTTTCTCTTTCTTTTTATCTCTGTTTCCAGATCTTACCAGGGGGTTAGATTCAATCTTCTTTAATCAACTTTCTAACTATAATATTCTTTGAGGATGGTTTCACTTTCATTCTGGAGACTTGCTGGAGGTGACATGGTTAGTGAAGAAGCTAAGACTAGATCCCGGGTCTTTGGACTCTTATAAAGATATTCTTTTCCTTAGGCTAGACTACTTTCTTGACAAGTACATAAAGCCTTACAATGGCAAAACATACATATTTTCTTATATATATTTTCTTCTCAGCCTTTTTTTCTAGGCAAATTAGCAAAAGTATTACTAGTGAATAAGCGAAGTGTTAAGTTTTTATTCATTATAGAAGTTTGAGTTTAAAGTGATCTGTAAGGAGGTGGACATAACCCAAAGAAATTGTGGAATGTATATTTTAGAGAAACATGATTCTCAACAAGCAGTCATTTGCCGATTTCTTCAGGCTGGATTGTAAATAAACACATCATTTGCATCATTTTCCACAGGCATTTAGCATCTAGACTTAATAGCATCTCAAACACAGAAAACTAATGATTTTTGTGGATGAGAACAAACAATGCTCCACAACTTTCTGCATTTTTGAGATTTGGGTCCTATAAAAGCAAGAAAAAAATCTAATAACATGGTGGTTTGATTTTCCACTACATTTGGATTTCATAATAAAGTCCTGGACTGGGTGGCAACCAGATTTACAAAATGGAAAAAAAATGACTATAATCTGAAAAATGAGATATACCAAGTTTATTTTAAAAATCTCACAGTGAGGTAGGAATACAGGGTCTATTTGTCCCAAAGCATCTTTATTATCTAAAGGAGACAGAACATCCAATAGAATAGCAGAGTAACTAGACTTCAGATTCTACTGGTATTGGGAAGTCCTAGGTGTGGAAGCTCCCTCTACCAATGCAGGTCATTCTACTTCAACATGTCAGTTGAAATCTCAGTTTTCTCATCTCTAAAATGCTTAGGATAAGCTTGATTATTTCTAAGGGCCTTCTAAACCTGCATCCTATGAAACCCAACATAGCTGGAAGTCACGGAGTCTAGATTCACTACCCAGACCTCTCCAGGGTGGAATGACTCCTGTCTGGGGTTATATCTGTATATGCCCTTGTTATTAGAAGGTGAACTCTCCACAGTTATGGAGTGGGAAAGGAATTCCTACTGGGAATGGAATAGGGAGACTTCTTTTTCTTTGATATTCTGTAAGGAAGAGGGCAATGTGAAATACATCCAAGAGGAGAGAATTGTGACATTTACTATTTTAATTTTTTCCCATACCCTTATTTTTCTTAGTGAGCTTAAAAGACTATGTTACCTCTGTCAGTTTCTACTTTTGTGATTTGGGGAAAATCCTTTAGACGTCAGTTTCCTCTTTTGTAAAATAAGTGAATTAGATTAGATGGCCTATGAGTTCTCTTCCAGTTATAGGTCTATGATCAATTGTGCTTTAACCTGTACCAGAACAATGAAAATTTCATTTCAAAACACTCTTTGCATCTTGAAAACATTGCAAGTGTGTTCTCACCAGAGGTCCCTCTAGGCAGCCTGAGACAACATTCATTCAATTAGAATATGATGATATGCTGGCATAAACCCAGATGGGAGTCATTCCCATGGGTGACCAATTTAGACAGCCAGTCATGTTATTTTGGAGGTGGTTTCTAGAAGAGCCCTTCAACAAAATCAAGGTTAGTCTAAACATTTTAGAGTGAGGAAACTGAGGTTTCAACTGACATGTTGAAGGTCACATGGACAGTAAAGTATCAGAGACAAGTTTTAAATCCTGATTCTCTGGCTCTTTAGCAGTCTTGTAACACATTGACATCCATTTGAACCTGTAAAGATGCTTGGAGATTTTCAACAATACAGGAAGACTCATTTGATGAACATAGGTCATAGGCATTTTAGTGTATGTTTTAATGGGAAAAAAAAAGGTTATAAAATAATATTGTGTTACCTGCATGATCTGTGTATTGAAGGGCTGTCCTTCTGACACTGATGCTTGGTAAGTGCTTGGCTGAAAAACTGGTACATTATCATTCACATCTTGTACTAAGACTGCCACTTTGCAATAGGTTGTATGCCAGCCACTTTCAGCCAAAACAATGAGGTTAATTTCATTTCTGACCTCAAAATCAAGAAACATTGGCTCCTGCACAGTGAGTTCACCTGTAAGAAACAAAAGTATGCTATGACGACATACCGATGTAGTACGGAAATGATAGGAAAGATGCACTTTATAGGCATCACTCCCTAAAAAGCAACTATTCCATAAATTTACAAAGTAATTTTTAAACTGGAGATATACGTGAATAGGAGACTAAGTAATGCTAATGCCATTTTTCTAGTGCTTCATGACTTACAAAGAGCTTCTTTAAAACCCGGACAGCTCGCCCACCAGCTGCTGACCACCAAACCAGGTTAGCTGCACCAATAGCATGACATCCTCAAGGAGACTGAGGCGATAACATGTGCCAAAAGTTCAACCACCCTCACAGCCATGACCAGTGCCTCCCCTGAACCCCAATGAAGATAGCCCAGGACCCTGAAGCCAAAGAGCCCTGGCAAAGAACAATGCTTCCCCCAGACTAACCCTGCTTCCAGCCCTGCCCAGAAGCCATCACCAAGAAGAGGAATGGACTGTCATCTATCACACCATCTACCAATCCACTGGAGAAGGTAATGGCAAACCACTCCAGTATCTTTGCCAAGAAAATGCCATACACAGTATAGTCCATGTGGTCTCAAAGAATCAGACACAACTGAAAAGTACTTAATAAATGCTTCCTTTCTTTCATCCCTCCATTCATCCCTACCTCTCTCCCTTCCTTTTCTTCCTCTTCTCTTTTTTTTCTCTCTATTTATTTCATGTCAGAACAGGATAAGTGGAAGGAATTAAAGATAGGATTTAGGGGGAATCACATAGAATAAGGATTAGAATCATATATTTTACTGTAGAGGACAGAGCTTGGAGCAATGGGTGAAAGTTGAAAAATTTTGGCTCAATGTCAGGAAAACCTTCCTAACAGTGAGAACTATCCACAAGTGGACTGGGTTGCCTTGGGACACAACGGATTCCTTTTCAGTGGAAGGCTTCAGGCCAAGGCTGGATGACCACTTGTTGGGTATGATGTAAAAGAGATTCTTGTCCAGGTGTGGGTTGGACAACATGACCTCTTATATCCCAACTCTGGAAAAGTCCACAGAATCCCAAATGCACAGTCCAGCTCCTTGAGGAAAGCTGCCTGAGGCAGCCAGCCCCCTCAAACTAAAGGAGACAGACTTCAAAAGGCAAATCCCCCCTCCTTATGGTATTCTAAATTCTGCCTTTCTACCTAAATATGTCTCTCTTCCTTTTCCCTTTTCCCATACAACAAAATCGGGAAGTAATACCCATCCATGGGTTTGACATGTCTATGAGACACACTGGGTAATGAAATGATACATTTAGAACTGGAAGGGGCTCAGAGGTCATCTAGTCCAAGCCCCTCATTTTACAGATAAGGAAAATGACACGGAGAGGTTAAATGACTTGCCCAAAATTACATAGGTAGTAAGTGGTAGAGTCAGCATTTGAAACCAGATCCTTTGCCTTCAAATCAAACAATCTTTCCCCTACACCATGTTGCCTTGTTATAGGTTCATAGGACACAATGTGTAGATAGGGGCAGGTGAAAAAGGAACTCAAGCTAGCAATGTACTTGGAAATTGTGCTATTAAGCTGACTGCTCTAGCTCTACTCCTCCTACCAACTCTACTTCCCTGGTGAACCAATCTACCTCTAGATTCAATTCAATTCCAAGAGCATTTATTAAGCACCTACTATATGGTAGGCACTATGCTAGGTATTCAGGATAAAAAGACAAAAAAAAATGAAAAGTCCTTGTCCTCAAGGAGTTTACTTTCTTTTTAAAATTAGATGTTAGTGCTATCTTTTTTTTTTACCCTGAAGTTTACATCACCTCATTCCTTCCAGAGATCCATCTCTTAGAACAAAGAAATTTTAAAGGAAAATAAAATCAGAATGAAAATAAAATTCAGCAAGAGCAGTCAATAGTTTTTTTTTTTATGTGCTCTTATATGCAATGCTGCAAACCCATTAGGATTTTACATTCTAACAAAATATTCAGTCAGGAAAATATCAAAGCTAGAAGACATTTGCTGGGACATCCAGGGAATAGCATGCCCACTTAGGTATAATTTCTTTGCTCCACTTCTGAAACAGAGAGTGTTTTGGGTATTTCATCATTTATACTCTGGCCTTGGGTGTTCAAAATGCTATTTCCAATTTTTTCTTATTATTAACCCTTATTTTTGCGTTTTCATATCCAAATCGGTTGCTATTTTAGAACCAAAACCCAATCATTTTCTCTAACCACAGTCAATTGTTACCAATGTCCCCAACAGAAAATTCAGAACAGACTTCACATGTGTTAGCAGCAGAATCTCTAAGATCTCTTGTGATGGGTTGGTGATGAAAGCAAGTGGTCTTCAATACATTTTGAGGCCCACATGTCTGAGGGGTGTACAGGGAACTCCAGCAGCTCAGAGGAGCTCAGGTCTGAGGTGGGTCTGCGATGGAAGGCGCCCAGCCTAGGCTTTGTTTCCATCCACAATAGAACACTTGACATGGTATCATATTCTGTTACTGTTCATGTAGGAAAAATAATAACAGAAATGCAATATAAAATTGTTGCAGCGTCACTTTGTAGAAAATGTGCCAATTACAGAGCAGATCAAAGAGCATTTTTTAAAATAAAAGGCTTGTGCTGGGGCTTTGATAATTGGAATTTTGCACTTGGAGCAGCTCTGTGGCTCTAATGCTTTCCTTGCCCTGTTTTATTTTTGGTGTAACAAGTGGCATATGCCATGAAAGGTTTGCAAATCAAGATGCACAATAGGCTGCCTGTGAAACAGTTCAAGGCTGGGACGTCCACTAGGCTGACATTCTCCCCTCCGCCAGCCAGAAAAAATTTCTCAGGGACTTCAAAAGGGAATTGTAGGAAGTGAATTAAAAGTAGCATCAGACTTTGCATTACACCAGCAAGAAAAATACTGAAAGCTGTATTTCTCCGGAGGGGACGAAGACATCATTTGCCATACCTCCTAATGTGTAGTGTGATATACAAGTAACAGTTCCACTGTATTTCACTGCGAGTAAATTGAATGTTACTGATATTTTTCTCTTAAAATACACATAGAAATACACATACATGTTACAGGGAAATATTCTAGTGTTGGTATTAATTGTTTTTCTTTTTAAAAAAAGTGATTAAACAAATATATCGACACATATAAATGCAGGTGTATGTACACATTATATAATATTGTGTGTGTTCATATACAGTACAAAATAATAAATTATGTTACTATGGTATGTATATAATATGTGTGTGAATATCTGTATATACACATATGTGTGTATTTATATGTGTATATTTATTTAGTATAGATCTATAATCTCTTCAGTGTTGGGAACTCCCAGTATAGAAACTTCCTCTACTGATGCCCATCAGCAAAATGTCTTTAGGTTATAACTTCAGAAAGTTGCTTGGGGCACCGAGAAGTTAAGTGATTTGCCCACAGTTATTTAGCTAATATGTGCCAAAGGTAGGATTTGGCTACACTATTCCATTATGCAGCTCATTTTGTATATATATATATATATGTGTGTGTGTGTGTGTGTGTGTGTGTGTGTGTATGTACTATTACATATATGTATGTATATATATATGTATATATATATAAACACACATAGTTGTACATATATGTTGCTACATATATGTACAATTTTCAGTGATGGCAAGACTATTAAGATACATTAAAAGAATGAAACCTCTCTAGAGTATGTTATTTTCCTATGACTTGTATAAGTCATCAGCAGAATAGAGTTTCCCTAAATCTGTATCATACAGTACAGGGACCAATTGCACATCTCTCAAATCAGTATGCCCATGGACACAACTCACTTGACAAATATTTCTATTATTCAAGAAACTTAATAGCTCCCTTCCCCTAAAATGACATCTTTGCAACATTGGCCATTTATGTTTCATGTTAATATATCAAATAATATGATTAATTTTATCATCTGTTATTCACATGAACATTCAGAGTCAAACAACTGTCAGAGTCCCACACATAATCCCCACTGGTTTAACTAGTGAGTCCTAGATTCTCTTAAGCAAGAGTGATGAATAAAGTTTGGAGACAGAATTCAACCCTGCAATGGTGGCTAGGTCAAGTTTGGCTCAATAAGGATAGAAAAGAGCATTTTCTTCATATGTACACACACATACATACATTCATGCATGACTTCTTGCGCTGTTGACAAAGGAAACATTTTTCTTGTAATCATATCCCCTTCTCAGAAAGAAATGATATGACTGAAGACATCCATGTTGCTGACTTGTTACTGCCACTGCCACTTCAACATAGCACATTACCTTTGGCAAGGCTGTTGCAAAGATTTGTTTGAGTGGTACATTTAGAGAAGGGTTAGTGAGTTATGAGGTGTGTGCCAAAGACATGTAAAATATGATTTTAGTAATATCATCAAAGTTATAATGAAATGTTTGGGGAGGAGCTGGATGTAAAATGGCAAAATTGCCTTAGGTATCATCTCTCATACTTGATCAGATTCCCTTTACATCCCCCTTTCTGTCCCTCTTCGGGCACTCTGATCACATTCCATTTCGGCTAACCTATGCCATGGTGGCAGCAGATAACCAAGGTGTTTTGCAAATAGGGGAACACTTGAAGACTGACATTTCTGTTTCTGGGAGCAGAACTAGAGCAGGGCTGAGATTGTGAAAGGACAATGGGAAAAAAACCAACCAGTTAAACTGAAGGACCTGGATCTGGAGACCTCTGTTACACAGAGCCTATCTCATGTGGAGGTATGCCTTCTTCTGCTCTCCATTGAATTGTCAGAGAAAATCAATTAACTCAACCCTCTACAATGGAAGTGTCTGGTCAGTGGGTCAACAAGCATTTACTAAGCACTTACAATGTCCTGGGAACTCTGCTAAGTGCTATGGATATAAAGAAAGGCAAAAATATGGTCCCTGCTTTCAAAGATACAGATAAATGGATAGATATAGATCTACACACACACACACACACACACACACACACACACACACACACACATACACACACAACATTCCCTTCACCTTAGACATCTGATTTCTCCACATACACATATATACACAATATATTTATATATATATGATATATATGTATATATAAGTTATATATTATCTCTACACCTACACACACACACACATATATATTTATAAATATATACACATATATAGGCACTGTCTCTCTTTCATTCTTTCTCTTCCCCTCCCTCCCTCTCTGTCAGATATCTCTGTAATTTCAGATCCTCATTCTCTTCTGCTCTACCCTTCCTAGTTTGCTCTGTTATTCACTGATCTCCCATTTCATGGCACCTTGGGAATCCACATGCCATAATTAACAGCACTCCCTTAACTTTAGACTTCTTATTCCTCTCCTAATCTTTATATCTTCTTGTATTCACAGAAACCCAGATCCATATACTTGACCCTTCTGTAACATCCTTGACATATGAGGCTCCTCGCCTCCACTCTGAGACCCTCCCTTTGCCACATCCCTCAGCTACCTCACTTACTTTAAGGTCATTCTATCAACATCACCCTATTTAGATCCTAGTTGCTATTATCAACTGGCCCCAAGTCGTTCTCTCCCCTTTCTCAAAGAGTTGCCTACTTCTTTCACATTCTTTCTTCTCTACCCCAACCCCTCACTCTCATACTTGTGGACTTCTTTATATATTGCTATCTCTGACACTATGGCCTCCTAACTCATTAACCTCCTAAACTACCATGATCTAAATCTTCACTTCCCTTCAACAGCACACAAGGATGTTCACAGCTCACTATCACTCTAACTGTGCTACACCCATGACCAATCTGGAACTTTGAAATTGCTCTATGATCAGAACTTCTATCTTTCCATCTCTCCTTATGCTTCCTAAAACTATTACTGATTTTCACTGCAATCTCCAGTACCTCTGCCTCTCCAATTTTCCCTGTCCAGTCCAATTAGACTACAACTAGGTGGCCCAGTGGGTAACAGCACTGGACTTAGAATTATGAAGATTTACCTAACTCTATGACTCTGACAAAGTCACTTAACTTCTTTCAGATTCAGTTGCTTCATCTGTTAAAATGAGATTAATAATAGCATCTACTTCACAGAGTTATGGGAATCCAATGAAATAACACATGAATAGCATTTTGCAAACAGTAAAAAGCTATATAACTTGCTGTTATTATTATTATTATTATTATTATTATTATTATTATTATTATTATTATTATCTAATAAGCCTTTCGTCCCTTCTCTACTTATTCTATCACTGCTTATGTCTTGTCCAACCTCTATAGCTGACTTACTCTGATTGGGGTCTTGGAGGTCCTGGAATAGCACTGTAATGAGGTCTGGAGCAAGTACAGAGTGTCTCAGATTAGGGGTCCCTATGTGGAGACCCTAACCCTGCTTTCTACCTCCATAAATTCTTTCATATCTATTGACTTCTCTTCACTCAAGGACAGCTAACCAGGTTTAGGTCTTCATCATCCTTCATCTACAATAACCTCAGAATAATTTTCCCTGCTCCTAATCTCTTTCCTCTTCAATCTATTCTCCATACGACTGACAAAACAATCTTCTTTAAGTATTGGTCTGACCATGTCATTCCCTTTCTAAAAAATCATTGATAGTTCCCCATTGGTCTCTAGGATAAAATATAAATATTCCAGCAAGTTATTTAAAAGACTTGGGACTTGGTTTCAGATGTTTTTTGTTTCTTTTTTATTTATTTTTATTGTTCTTTCATTTTTATTTTTATTCATTTCTTCATTTATTTTATTTATTTTTATTTTTATTTCTTGTTACTATTCTTCATGCTTTTAATATTTCAGCTAAATTAGAATTCTAGTGATCCCTGAATTTATTCTCACACTTCCTTTCTCTATGCTTTTGCCTCAGCTACGCCCCTTGCCTGGAATGCATACTTGCTTCACTTCCATCTCTTAAAACCTCTAGCTACTTTCAAGGTTCAGCTCAGCTATGTCTCTTACATCACTTGATCTTTTCATTTTTTACTGTTCTCCCTCCTCAATTTCCCTTTGCTAGTTCTTAACTGTGTATCCATTAAAAGCTCCTAGTACTCTGCCAGCTCTTTACTGTGCTTGCATCCCCAGTGTCTGGCACATAACAGATACTGTTTATCAAATTGCATTAACTCATTAAAGTTGTCACTATCTCAGTCTGGGATTGGTGGATAAGGCAGTCATTACCAATGCCTTTCCTCTCCTCCTGTGCGTGTGTGTGTTTGTATGTGTGTGTGTGTGTGTGTGTGTGTGTGTGTGTGTGTGTGTGTGTGCGCGCGTGTGTTTGTTCCTTTCGCTTGGCTCTTAAGGGCTGGACAGGTAGGAGCTCAAGGCTTGGGGGGGCTTTCAGACAGAATGCTCCTGATACCATCTCTAATGATGGACTACGTTGATAGAGCACATAAACAACAACTTTGCATGCAAATCTGAAAAGTTTGCTGGCCCCTAAGCCAGACCCCAAAACTCATTTCATTCAGCCCTGGTCCCCTACAAACTGAAATGGAATTGGGGGGTGGAGTGGAATTCCCTGAGTAAAAGTTCTCACATGTGTATATAATTCTAGATTAAATAAGACAGTTGCATGTCAATAGAATAATTATTCAAAGCATTCTCCTTGAGGTTTGAGAATGAAGCAGGAGATAAGGATTTACTACATAGTTGTTAGTCATCAAAAGTATGTTTCCAATAATCAATTGGTATTCATTTAAAACACAATAATGGTCTCATTAAAGCTAAATTAAATGCATACTGTATTTGGGAATAATTTCTTTACCACCAGAAAGTACTTTTTTGTTGAATTGTTGACATTCAGTGGCGAATTAGAAAAATCTCAAAAAAACTCCCCAGGGCTATACATATGTACTTATTTTTAATTCAACCTGGATACCAGTGATCTCACTAGTACATCTCCAACTCTTTACAAAGGATTAGTTAAAAAGCTGAGTTGAAAGCTAACATGTTTAGAGTTTTTTTAAAAGTAGGATAAATCTTTCCTTATATGAAAGAGTAGGGAATACACTTCCTGGAGATGAATATTGTTAAAGTTTGCTTCTGTGACAAAGGATGATGATTTCAAATCATCCTTTATTAATTACTGACATATACAATTTCTTGTTCTACTCACTTGGAGGTTCCAAGTCATCAGATAATAATCATGGTTACTAAGCATTTGTAACTGTGAAATTACACAAAGGCAGGTGGAATGTATCTATGAATTCCAAATTACAACTTTTACCCATTTTTATCCTTGGTCTATGAAGTAATTCCCAATGGTCTTAAATGGAAAATGAATATAATTTAAAAGGCAAAAGCCTTACCTGTTTTAGAGTTTAAGGAGAATACTCCATTTTCATTTCCACTAAAAATCCAGTATTTTATTTCTTTCCCATTGAACTCTGGAGTGAAGGCTTCCACAGTCACGATGGGAAATCCTGCAGCAATTGGATAAAAGATATATCAGAAAGGGAATATTTCAAGGAGAAAATCAATGAACATATAAGAATTTTTTTAGTCCCTACTATGTGCACAGACCATTAGATATTTGGGAAGGTGGGGGTGGCAAAAGAAGAACAGTATAAAGAATCGTGGAGGTTCAAATGATGAATGTGACATGTGCAGGAGACCATAAGGGAAATGTATTTCAGAAACAGAGAATGGTTGCTAAAGAAAAGTCAGAAATAAGCTCAGATAAATAAGCAGAGGTCAGTTTAAAGAGACCTTGGCAGCCAATTTGGATTTAATAAGGCAAGAAATGGGAAACCATTATAGGCTTATGAAGAGAAGAGTGACATATCATAAGGGAGTGATTAGTGTGTCAGTAGTATATACTAAAGTAGAGAAAGATTAAAAGCTAAGCAGTAGTACAGCAATCCAGGTGTTAGGTGGGAAGAGCCTAGAATAAGATAATGGTAGATTAGAGTACAGTATAGGCATTTTAAAGGAAATAAGTATAGGATGAAGACAATGGATACGTGGGCTAACTCTCTCTCTCATTTGTAGCCCTATGACACTTATGGCTTACTACTCATATGGCATTTCACATAGTCAGTCTTATCTTGTAGAAAGGGTTACTCAAAGATGCCTTGGTATATCTTGGGGATATCTTGCATATCTGTGATTGTGTCACATCTCTCTTATTAGACTTTTATAAACATAAAAGAGGCTTAGCTAATGAAAATAATTTTTCCAGAAGTAGCAGCAGCAAGATGGCTATATATGAATAGAGCATAGCTATCAGACTACTAGATTTGGAATCAATAAGAATAAGAATGGCTTTTATAATATGCTTTAAGATTTGCAAAGATGTTGCTAATTCCAGTGCAACATCAGGTAAGCTGCCAGAACCCTACAGCCTCCAATGGCCAACATCAGAGGCCCTAGCACACAAAGCCAGTGACCAGGCCCAAAGCTCCCAACACAACAAGCTTGGGTCAGTGTCCTCTGCTCCCCAGCAGGAGAGCTCAATCTCTTTAAAGGCCAGGAAATAAGCAAGCACCATGAGTAAAAAGAAACATACCATAGACTCATATTATGAGAACAGTGAAGATCAAGGCAAAACATTATTTATATTAAATTAGGCATATAGAATATATAATTACACAGATATACAATTAGGTATATATACATATATATGTATATATGAGCATATATATATACACTTATGTGTATAGATGTATGTATATATATATGAGTATGTGTATATACATATACATATATGCATATTTATGTTTGTATATACAAAACTATATGGATATATATGCATACACAGACATATATACATACACATATATGCATATGTGTGTATGTGTGTGTATCCACCTATCTATCTATCTATCTATCTATCTATCTATCTATCTATTTACCTATCTGTAAAATTAGGTCCTCAACAGTCTTGTGAAGTAAGTGCTATTATTTTCCCCATTTTACAGATAAGGAAACTGATGTTGAAAGCAGTGGAATGACTTGCTTGAAGTTAAACAATTAGTATATGTCTAAGGCAGGATTCAAATTTGGGTGTTCCTAAGTCTAAGCCCAACATTCCTTCCACTGTACCTAAGTTTGAATTCTGTATTCCCTGCTTACTAGCTATGAAACCATGAACAAGTAATTTAGCGGCAATGGACATTGACTTTGATTTTTGCAACACGTTGTCTCTACTTTCTGAGAACAGAGAAGCTCACTGCCAATGAGGTAGCCACTTAGTGATGAATTTTTTTGGCATGGCAACTCATGAAATAAGGGGAAAATGTCCATTCTGTAAAACGAGGATAATAGGCTTTTATGAGACTTCTTTGCATAAAGTGCTTTATAATTTTTTTAAAAACTTGATGTGTAATTTCATTGAGTATAGGGAACTCTGGTGAGGAATATCCTTCTACCACAGCAGACACTTTCTTTCTGCAATTCATGGTCAGTGAGAGTTGCCTGTGTGGTTGAGAGTTTGTCACTTCCCCAGGGAGGTTGAACAGTGTTGGTGGTCCCTTCCAACTCTAGATGATTGGGCCTATGGAAAAGACCAAGGCCTCCCACTGCATTCTGGGCCATCTCCTGTCCTCCTGATCTACAGCTGGCCACTAGAACCAGATGGCTTCGTAGGAAAAAGTGAGGCTGGTGACTTTTCATAGCACTCACTCACTCAAATCCATTTCAATTGCAAGTCATGTCATCATCTCCCTGATGTCATGGTCCCCTTCAAGAATGAAGGACAGACCACAACAAGGGTCACATTGCCAGTATGTCTGAAGAGGCAAGATTTGAAAGCAGGTGTCTCTGACCCTAGAGGTATGCTCTCCATCCTCTGGGCCATACTTCCTTTAATTAACAGTTAACAGCTGTCATTTGTATGGTGCTCTAAGTTTTGAAAAGTAATTTACATAGATTATTTCATTTGATCCTCATAAGCATTTATGCATCACACAAAATATCAGCTATTATCGAGATAATGTTCTTTCTAGAACTTAGTTATTTATTGAATTGTACAATAATAGTTCGGCTTCCTAACCTCTACAAGAAAAACAAAGTTTGTTTCTTCTACTGCATTTCCCAAACAATTCTTAGCTTTGGAATTTTTTAATTAAAATTTTTAAAAATCAGCGAGCATTTGTGTTTTTTTTTCTGACCTTCTCTTCCTTTTCCCTCTTTTCCCTCCCTCCCTTCCTCCCTCCCCTCCATGGTTTAAGGACTTGCTACTGGAGAAGTCAAGGCAGACAGAACTGCTGCTATTGTACTCAGCCCTTCCGAACCAGTAGACATTGACATCGTTAGAGCTGAGGAAATGAACACTCAGTGCTGCAACATGCCCTTGCTTGCTAGGACCTGGTAGATGGGGTGGAGAAGAAAGGGGACCTCCCTCCAGTCAAAAGTTCTATGTTGTCACAGTCTCTTTAACACAGATCTCACCAAACAAGTAAAAGTGGAGCAAACTGGCCCCTCCTAGACCAGGGAGGCATTTTCCTCCAGAGGCTGTGCAGTACTTAACAACGCTCTCAGAAATATTCAGAGATGGCTAGAAATATCAGAAGGAACAGGGATGGGACATCGCTGAGAAACAACAATTTCAAAGAAATTTCTTCACAGAGGCATGGAACAGAAAGAACACATTGTGGAAAAAAGAGCAAGAAAAATGTGAAACGGAATACATTATTGTCTTCAGAAACTTCATGTTTAACATAAACTGTGACAAAGTTTAAAAAACAGTTATCAAGATGTCCAAGTGGCTGTTGGTTTCAAGCCAGTGATGAAGTCATTTAGTGCGCGTGGTAATTGATTTTAACCAATTGTGATGGGATCAAGTTACTGCACAACTTGACCCTTTCCAAATTGCATTCTGAGCTGATCCTTATTTTATTACATTACAGGGGACATGCTGTTAATATAAAATGTCCTCCATTTGAGGGTGGGAATGTGCCTTCACAGTAGTACAACGTGCTCCACCTTCGGCACACAATCAGACTTCCATGCTTCCTGACGCAATTTGTTTTATAAACACAGAAAATTTTACTTCAGCTGGCTCGTCACTGACTCTTAAATGTGGCATCAGGAAGAGAAAGTGCTATAGTCAATTCACATTATAAGCCTTTTCCATGGAGAGTATGGTGATTGGCTTGTATTTATGTAAGAATAAAAAGATGAGCAATAATGATAATGAAATCATAGACAATAGAAATATGAAAAATTGTTCCAAATCACTAATAATTAGAGGAAATGCAAATTAAAGCAACTGAGTTTCCACCTCATAACCATCAGATTGGCATAGATGACAAAAAAATAATAGGATAATGACAACTGCTAGAGAGACTGTGGGAAAACAAGTACATTAATGCACTGTTGGTGGGGCTGTGAATTGGTCCAGTTATTCTAGAAAGCAAATCAGAGCTATGTTCAAAAGTCAGTAGACTGTGCATATCCTTTTATCAGACTATAGTATTGCTGTTGAATCATTTTCAGTTGTGTCTGACTCTTCATGACCTCATTTAACGTTTTCTTGGCAAAGTTACTGGAGTGGTTTTGCCATTTCCTTTTCCAGTTCATTTTACAGATGAGGAAACTGAGGCAAATAGGGTCAAGTGACTTGCCCAGGGTCACACAGCTAGTAAGTGTCTGAGGCTGGATTTGAACTCAGGCAGATGAGTCTTCTTGACTCTAGGCCTGGAACCCTATCCACTGCACCACCTAACAGTCCCAGCTGTGGCATTACTAGGCCTAAAATCCAAGCAGATCAAAGAAAGTGAAAAAAGACCCATGTCTAAGAAAATTTTTGTAGCATCTCTTTTTATGGTAGCAAAGGAATGAAAATTACAGCACCGTCTGTTTACTAGGGGGTGATTAAATAAATTATGGTAAGTGAATGTAATAGAATATTAATGAGCTGTAAGAAATGACAAAATGGAGTTTCAAAAGCAAACCTGGGAAGACTTGTAAGATAGAAGTGAGCAGAGACATAAGAAGAACAAATATTAAAACAACATTATAAAGAAAAACAATTTTGAGAGACTTAGAATTCCTACCAGTGCAATGACCAACTACAATCCTAAAGGGCTATATGATCCACCTCTTGGCCAAAGAGGTGATAGGCAAGATGCAGAAAAAGACATACATTTTTGGATACAGTCAATGCAAGAATTTGTTTTGCTTAAGTCCTCATATTTGATTTTTTTTTCTTTTCTTCTCCCCCCTACCTAGGAAAAGCTAAGTAGGAGGGTAAAGAGGAGAGGACAAAGTAGCAAAAATAAAAAGGAAAAGAAAGAAAACAGAGTTATTAAAATATCTTCTTAGAAATGCAAAGAACAGAAAGAGGTCCTGGAAAAAGTACCAAAAAGCAATAGAGATCTATAGTTTCGTGTACAATCCTCTTTTTTTTTTCTGGATAGACAGATAGATAGATAGATAGATAGATAGATAGATAGATAGATAGATAGGTAGGTAGATAGAT